AAAAAGAACAGGACATTGCATTAAACTCTACCATCTTGTTTGTGTAATATTCTTGGCGTTACATAACATTGATTGATTTGATAGTAAAATATTAAAAGCATTGTCTCCAAAATTTGTTTGAGGCCTGAGACATGTGTACTGTAATAAATACAACAGCGACAGGATTTGAAAGATATCAACTTTGACAATACCCAAACATCGAGCAGTTTCGTTCTTGTTGTGGTTGAGTTTTTAGCATCTTGAATTGTTCCAAGAATAGCCACTCGACCCTACCATTTGAATTTATTGGACAAATATTTTACTTGGTAACTCTCCATATTAGTCGTGTTCTGCATACTCCAGAAGCAGAATTCAAACAGCAATCAATGACAGGATTTATCAAGTGAAGACAATAAGCAAAAAAAATCAGTCGATAACTGTCATAATGCGTCAGATTTTGATCAGTATACCTTCCAGATGCTGCAACTTTTAGTTGATTTTTGGCAAGTTTTGCCACAGTGATAAAGTGTGGTTTTGCTGGCAATACAACTTTAATAAAACCTATTAGTTTATATTTACCGATACAACTAATATTAGAGGTGACTTCATAGAATCAAATATGATTAAATGAGAAAGAAACACATACCCCCTGTAATACACACATTAAAAGAGTTTAAACACCAAACATGTACTATTGTACTGCAATAGCAAAACAATAACACAGACCTATACTTTTAAAAGAGATCCTAGTTTAATACGAATATTTGGTAGATATCACACATCTTTACAATTACAATTCTGGCATAACTGCATGAAAAACAATTCAAAATTCTCTATTTCCATGAACAAAAAATCAGAAAATGAGAGAAAAAAACACAAGTGTGTACTTTTGTTCACACTGTACCAAGGTGAGAGTATTTACGACTACTAACTAAAGAATTGTCATGACAAGGCGACGGTGATCAACTAATCAATTAAAAAAAAATACAACATTTGGTGTAATTGTTGATACTGCAAAATAATCCAGTAGTGTTCTCAGCAGTGAATTAAATAAACAACAGCATACTGATGATGGAGGGCAGATCAAATATATGCACAATGGGTACACTCAAGAAAACCACAACGGTTCATGTTTATGACAATAAATATAAAATATGGTTTATATACAAATAATGTAGAAAATGTTATGAATGACTATGTAGGTCTTGTCGGCCCATTGGATTCCTGAATTCCACTGGTTCCTTGATGGTCAGGACTGTGACGAGACTGAAATGAAAAGGATATATTCTATTTGAATTGACAGAAAATAATAAAATAGTAATTTGCGCCACCAGAAAACGTACTTGTATTAGGGCTATACTGTAAACTTTTTAATTTTCACTGATAGAAATTACTGTAAACTTTTTAATTTTCACTGATAGAAATTCATGTAAACTTTTTAATTTTTACTGATAGAAATTCATGTAAACTTTTTAATTTTCACTGATAGAAATTCATGTAAACTTTTTAATTTTCACTGATAGAAATTACTGTAAACTTTTTAATTTTCACTGATAGAAATTACTGTAAACATTTTAATTTTCACTGATAGTAATTACTGTAAACATTTTAATTTTCACTGATAGAAATTACTGTAAACATTTTAATTTTCACTGATAGAAATTGCTGTAAACATTTTAATTTTCACTGATAGAAATTGCTGTAAACATTTTAATTTTCACTGATAGAAATTCATGTAAACATTTTAATTTTCACTGATAGAAATTACTGTAAACTTTTCAATTTTCACTGATAGAAATTACTGTAAACATTTTAATTTTCACTGATAGAAATTACTGTAAACATTTTAATTTTCACTGATAGAAATTACTGTAAACTTTTTAATTTTCACTGATAGAAATTCATGTAAACTTTTTAATTTTCACTGATAGAAATTCATGTAAACTTTGACTGAGAGTCACTGATACTCCGTATCGTAGAAGCCCAGAGAATTTGTCACTGCAAGAATATTTTTCAATTATCATTAACTTAAGAAATTCACAAAAAGTTGTCTCACACAAAAATTAAAGTGGTTTAACACCTAATTGTAGTGATATGTTAAAAGTAGCGCTGTTAGTGTAGCTCAAATGACTGGAGAAAACCTTGTTTTTATAAATTGTATATCGTATAGTATATTTTATCATTTCTACATTAAGCCAAAGGACAGTTATCAACTCAGTCTTATAATAGTAGCGACACAAAAACATACACAATTGAAGAAATGTTGGAATTGAGTGTTTATCGTCATGTACCTTTTTCTTTTTCTTGTCTTTCTTTTTCTTTCTCTTTTCGCCATCTTCATGTTTTTTTGTTTTCTTGTGTTTTTTATCATGGGTAGTGTCAATGACAGTTGTATCTGCAACAAAACAACATTCATTGCAATTAATGAAGTTACTGTCACAGGGAGAACCACTCATGTACATTCCTGGAGAGTATCAAAAGCACATGGCAAACATTTTATCAATAAGAAATCAAAAATGTTAACTTGATGCCAGCTACGATGAGAGACAGTCAGTAATATGCAAAGCTAAAAAGGTACTGTAAAATGACAAATTTTCACTGGGTTTAAATTTCGTAGATTTACCATTTTAGGCATATTCAGCGTGTTTTAAATTCACGGTTTTGTCATTTAGATAATGTTTTCTATGCTAAATTTTACATGTTCACTGGGTTTTAATTTAACACATTTTCCAGTCAGCGAAATAAACAAAATTAAAACCCAGTAAATAATTAACCCCCTTTATAGTATGTGATATACCTGTGCTGTGATGTATGTTAGGGTTGGGTGAGGCAGATCTCCTTTTTTTTGTAGGGATAAATCAGATGGAAATTCCTTTATTCACTCACCTGGGGTTTCAATTGGTTCAGTTCTATGCTCCTTTTTATGTTTTTTGTGTGTGTGTTTGTGCTTTTTCTTGTGAGGTTGTTGTTGCATCAAACGATATTGCTCTGGAATCTGCAAGTAAAACAGACAGAAAATTAAAAGTTCGGAAAATATCTTCCACATGTGAAATCAGTGAGAGATTACAGAGACCGGCATGCACTCTAATTCCCAGTGATCAAATGAGACACTACGACCATAACGTACTATGTAGTGTCATGGGAGGACAAAAATGCTTGGCATTCTCAAGATACATCCACTCCATTGAAAGAAAACAGAATTAAAACGTGCATTTACAGTTTATTTAAGCAGTAGGATGACGAGATACATATATATATATAACAGTCCTCTCATCAGTAGCAAACTTAGCTATGGCCATGCATATCTTGAGGTGAAATCCAACAAAAGATCACAAGACACTTGAGATGTATGTAAACATGCCTATTAAGTACTGTGGAATACTTTATTTTCGCTGGAATTAATTTTCGCTGAAAAGGCTTTTTGGGCATTTTGTATGGAATTTATTTTCACTGAGTTAATGTGAAATATAGGAAAAAAAAGTATATTTGCTGGATTTTATTTTCACGGAATCTTCCCTTCAGCGAAAATAAAGTATTCTACAGTATGTGATCTCTGTATATACTCACACAGTGAATTTAGCATTTTTAGCATTCATATTTTTTTTTAAAATTCATTATGCACATAGGCACAAAAACACACTACAGTCAAACTTGTGTTAGTGGCCACCTCTATATAAAGACCACCTGCCTATAGTGACCACTTTTAAGAAGTCCCAACCTGTGTATAAAAGACCACTACCAGATGACTACTTTTTCAGAAATATTTTTGCAGATTTGTCAAAATAATTATTACTATTCAATCTCATCATTTTCTGGATAAATTTTATGTCAAATGTACGAGTTGGCGATCCATAAAACATCCGATCTCCATATAAATACACTGTCTATAAAAGACCATTTGAATGAAGTTCCATTGGTGGTTGTTATACATAGGTTTGACAGTACATGTACATCCAACACGTACTAAACTAAATAACAAATTTATAATATTTGTTTACTTACTGGTCCAGGATGTAACCTAAATCCTGCTAATGCTGGTGTTGATAATGGTAGAAGTTCTTTTCCTAGAATTGGTTGTTTATCTATTAATGATCTCAGACTACTATTGTCTTGAGTGCCAACAGTGTCTATCATACCTAAAATACAATAAACAATAGGGCATTGTCATAATATAGGTCTTCACACTGTGATGTCATATTTTTGTCGACCAGCATGCAAAAGTACGATAATAAACGTCCCTCGCAGACAGACGCCGATCAACACAGGTTCGCGAACTGTTGCGATAACACTGCCCATATGTTGTTTTATTAACAGAAGCACATACAAGTATATTTAATAACAAAACCAGCAATTGTTATTTTATCTTTGAGTGGGAATGATCAGTTCTTGCCAACCAGTCACAACACACATGAGCAAAACGCAAACAAGTACGACAACCTACACAATCTTCAATTGATGTCGTACTGGTAAAGTTCAGCATTGTGTGAGCGCCTACACTTGATTCGTGTAGCCAGCAGTTAAAAAAGAAGTTTTTCCCACTTGTCAGAGTGTCACTACTTTTTGATTGGAAAATTGCGTCTGTCGATATAATATTGTTGTAGGATATTAAGTTGTTTGGAATCCATGTTGCTGTTATGTAAAGCAATGACATGAGAGTAGCGAATAATTGCGTAAGGATTGTACTTTGTTGGAAATAACAAAAACATTTGGTTGCTGAAAAGACTACCTCGTATAAATAAGTTAAACAAGTCAAAAATATTGACAGTAAATAATCATTTCAAACTTTCAAAAGCTTAAAATAGGAACTGCAAAGGCGTTTGCCACCAAAGGTTGTACGATCTAGGGCCGCAAAAGCTGTATCCAGTCCATAAATTTTTATCATAAACCTTATAAAAATAAATGTTATCGTTTCAAACTACTGGTTTTCATTCAAATCCTATTTCTACAATTAATTCAATTGGATTGATATTTCTGTGTCTGGCGCAACAATACCAAAACATGCGAGCGTTCTAGCATTCGTTTGTGTTTGCACTTGTTCTTTCGAACTAGAACCATCGCTAGAATCCTGACTAGAACGAGTAACCCATTGAATGTGGTTAGATTTCAGACCTCAACATCTGCCTGTGTGCAGCAGCTAGTTGTGTTAATGTAATCAATGTTTTATAAAAAGAAATCTGCACTGTAAAGATCAAAGCAGACTAGTTATGAATGTCATCTACAGCAACGCAAATTACCAATAACTGACTGAAACCAGTTTGTAGTGCGCGATGCTCTAGCTCTATAAAAAGAATATGAAGATATAAACATGGTCAAACAAGGCCTCACTTTGTTTCTCATAGTGTTATGAGGCCAGGCAATACATGGTATATGATAATTAATACATTTACCTATTCAAATAATTGTGGTAATGACCATAAAAGACTTACCTGGCAGGTGCGGTAAAAAAGCGCTCAACTGTTCTTTAATTTTTTTACTGCAAAATTTATTGTAAGCATGCTCCAACCCATGATGGCTGACTAAATTGGATTCTCCAGGCTGTTGTGAAGTAACTATGGAGATAAAATAGAACAGTTATTATTATGGGATGTCATATTATATGCAAATGAGATGCAGATGAGGGCATAGTACAGCCAAAAAACTCAATCAGTTATAATGTGCCTGGATTATTCAAAAACCTATTCTTCATATGCAACTGATTTTGCAGCAATTGCCCTAAAACCAGTAATGTAAATGACATTTTTCGTCTGTTATGAATTTAATTATAAACATATATCTATTTATTCAAAAAGCAATAAAATTATTATTATTATGACGTTGAAATACAGTTTTTGCCAAAAGATCATGATTTCATGATATTCCAAACACATATCTTAACTCTTTGAAGCGACACTTCCATGGAACTGCATACCAGTATTTGCGTATTCTACATTTTTTTGTTAGAAAAACCACAACAACCTGTCGGCCATCGTCATCCAAAACATCATTTTTTCACACACCGCGAAAACCTCAAGTGTAGACACATTTTATATTGAAATGAACAATACATAAAGCTGTCCTGGACAGCTATAAAATTATCGATCACCATGAGAAATGTAACAGGTATTTCCATCTATTTGCATTATTCTCAAGTAGTAGAGACGTTCTAATAAAAAATTGTTAAAATTTTTGAATTGGCATATTAAAATCCTTTATTGGAATAGAACATGTTTTGTATTCAACAAAAGGTTGTTATGTTTCATTACATGCAAAAAACTTAAAACAAAAAAAACATTCTGATCTTAGTAGATGACATGCATCATTAAAAATTGTGTCTTATCGTAATTGCGTTTCCAAGCGAAAAAACACTGAGGTGAAAAACAACCAAGTTTCGCCCAATCTCCTATGATTTTTTTCAATATCATTAATTCAGTCCAGTTCAGGTAGGTAGATAGATAGATAGATAATAATAACAGCCAAGAGGGTGACGAACATATTTTGATATTTCGTATTTTATAAAACATGTAATTATAATATCAAGCAATATTCCCTTCAATGTACACAGGTGGAAAGCAAGTGAAAAGATTCAAGTGGGTATTAAAATCTGTTTTGTCTGTTCTATTTGTATATGCACCTCAACGTATGCCGTCACTCCGTAGAGGGACTGTATGCTTATTGGTAGTACCGGGTATATACAGGTATGGTATCAATTTCAAGGTCACTAACATAACTGGACCGCCTCTGAATAAATAAACTCATTTGCGTGATGAACCAATAACAATGAATTATAATCAATAGTTTAAGACAAATTCAGGAAGAGTAGATTATTTAAAATAAGGAACCACGCAGTCGGTGAAAGAGATTCCAAAAATACCGACAGACAACACAAACGAAAGAAATTGACTTGTTTGTTCAACAACAAGAACTAGATCGAACATTTGTTCACTGTGAACTTTGAAGATATACAGTTTCAATATCGCATCACAGCGAATGGCGCCTGAAACAGATAACGAACGAGTTGTAGTACAGTAGACGAAGAAGTAGACGACCCAGGAACACAGAGACCACAGCAACGATGTACTGTCGACATGACGAAGCCGCATCTTTACCTACCTGGCATATCGCGTACTAAATAAAATGGTTCTGGTTCGTCTTGGGGGGAAATTGAAGCTCGTGGAGGTAATGGAGATTTCTGTCGCATCGCAGCTTGTTTTTTTGGTGATCTAGCGCCTAATTTTTGAGTTGGAGGATCCGCAGGTCTTTTTATTCCCTCCATGATGCCGCCATCTTGAATTTTTTCACGGAAACAACAAAGGTCAAAGGTTGCAGGTCAAACTTGTCGGTAAAGGTCTCACACTACCATTATGATTCAGACTGAGGAGTATCAGGCAATGGTGTTCAATCTGAGGAAAATCGAATCTTATTCAAATTTTTATTGTAATTTATTTAATTTAATTTTTGTTATTTGCTTAATTTATTTTGTTAATTAAACTTTTTTTAATTGTATGACCACAAAAGCCTAATTAAGGAAATAATTGAAATACACTCAGCTGCACGAGTAACTTATAATAAATCATAATGCAGCGTCAGATGTAATGAAAATTTTTGTTTTCGTCCAAATGACATCTTTTAATAAGTCCTGTCCAACTCCTCACTGTATATTGTAGACAGATGTACACTATTGAATGTTATATTTCCGATGTGAAAATTTACAGTCATCAAATACAATCAGATGAAAATCTCATTTTTTGTACTTT